CAGACTCTACTCCCTCTCCCTCTGTTTAGTATCGTGTACGATTAAAGCTGAAAGTTGTAAAAGCATTGGAAAAAAGTAGTAGCTAGACAAAACCGATATCCTGGGAGAGAATCAATCGGAAGTGTTATACAATAACTAGTAAAATGCAAGCGAAGGGTGAAAACAAATAATTTAAGGGGACCGCCCTAGCATACGAAAACTTCTACAGTTATTATCCGATTGTCATGAAACTTCACATACATACGTAAAATGTAAAAAAAAAAATACCGTTCGATGCGCAAGAAAACAACCTTTAAGATGAGATAAGAAACAGAAAAACTCAAAATTTTCAAATTTTAGCTAAGGCGGTCCCCTTAACTCAGTACTCACTGCAGTGAGTGACAAAGAGCGCATTTTCTCGTCGACGAAAAAATGAAGTCACGGACAGACGGACATGACAAGCACAATATAGCATTTTTTCCATAAAAGATAAAATGCGCTGAAAAGAACTGGTATGTAGAATAGCATTAATTTATCGAAGTGACAGTGGAAGGATCAACGAAAAAAAATTGTGGGCCACGAGCAACATTAACCATATAATTTGGCGTTCGCAAAATGTTGGGGTCTCTGGTGTGTCGTCAGCTGCTGGGCTCAACACTTTCAGCTCGAGTAAACTAAATTGATAAGTAAAATTTTGCTATTTTGCAATGGTGAAAGGTTTCAGTTCACTTCTTTACATGGTCGCTACCCATCAACAAGAAAATATTTCGTTCCAATCTGTTGAATAAAATATTTTTAAAATAATATTAGAAAAATTTCATACTCTTAAAGCTTGAGGACGGTAAAATGTGAATTTTGAAGGAAAATTTGGTTTTTAATCACAAATACTATTAACTTTTGTCCCATTAAATATTATTCTCTTTCTTTACAGACATTGATAAATTGTCATACAGTATATATCAATAACTTAACATGAGGAACAAAACTTTTGGCGAGTGGTTTTTCCTTCCTAACAATGTTACATGGAATGAACTTCGGGAGACCGTCGGAGAAAGTTATCCAGAATTTGGTGTCTACTGGCAATGGTCGATCTTTTTCGGCGTAGTTCTATATATTTTCAGAGATAACATCCTCATCCCATTAATTCTGAAGCCCCTGGGCCTGAGAGCTAGCGTCAGGTCTCGGCCGTACGCTGCCCCACCGCCCAACAAAACTCTTGTAGATTTGTATGCTGTAAACCGAGCGCGACCGCCGCGCCAAATGCTGACAGCGGCCGCGTCGCGCATCAACTGGTCGGAGCGAGCAGTCGAAAGATGGCTTCGTCAGAAAGCTTTATCTGGGCAAATGACAACGCTGGAGAAGTTCTGTGACATGGGTTGGCAAGCTACATTTTACAGCTGCTTTTTCATCGCTGGGCTTTTCATAATGTTACCTCAGGAGTTCGTATGGGAGCCGTCTAAAGCCCTTACCAACTTTCCGTTTGAGCAAACACAACCTGTCATTTGGTGGTACTGTGTCATCGACACCGGCTTTTATATTACACAGTCTTACGTCCTGTTCACGTTGGACCTTCGTCACGACTTTTACATCATGTTGTCTCATCACATCATAGCTTTGTCGTTGGCATGCCTCAATTTAACTATGAACAATCTAAAGCAGCAGGCTTTAGCCGTGTTCTTGCACGAGGTGGCAGATATTCCTCTATCCGTTGGTAAAATGCTTCGTTACGTAGGCAGGAACGCTGATATTTTAGGGTATGTGTTTGCGCTAATTTGGATTGCTACCAGACTCGTTGCTTTTCCTGTAATGATATTAGTTCCATCGTTCACAGAGACATCTGGAAAGAGTTGGCCGGCTAAGTTTTTGACACAAGGTAGCACCTCAATTTTGTTAATCTTGCACATCCTTTGGACATTTCAGATCGTGAATGCCTTTAGAAGGAAGCTCAACAATGGCAAGGAAATAAGCGACGAGCGTTCGTCACCCGAAGAATTGTCCGGTGACAGTGAAGATGAAACGATGGAACACGGAGACAAAATCTCAACCGAAATCATTAAAAATGAGACTTCTGGATCAGGTTATTTTAGCAATGAAATAACGCAAAGGGCGGTTTGGAAGGAAATATCAGTTGAAGGGGCTCAGCTAAGAAATTAGGCCGTAGATGAACACCACTCACGCCTACATCACCAATGTGAACTCATGACAGAATACATCAAATTCAAGTTCATTCAATTATGTTCTGCAAAATTCCTTTCGAATGAATCACTCCCAGATCGTCGTTTTTATTTTGCAAATTTTCTGTACTAAATAATGCAAAGGGAAGTTTGAAATATTTTGCAGTTGTATGATGTTGATAAACATGTGGCTCGAGTCTATACGCAAAGCCACCATTGAAAATGAAATGTTAAAACAGTTGCCAAATTGTAATGTAATTGACGCGATGAAAAATTTGGGGTAATTTAACTTTTTAGGAATAATTTACAACCGCAATTTTAGTTCATTTGTTCAAGTCTTTCAACATGAGAGCTAATCGCATTTTTTACTAACGAGTTTCTGAGTTTTCGAACACGTTCTGAGCTAATTTTCTGTTAGAATATCTGCAATAGAAATGGCATTCTTCGGAATTTTGTGATTTAGTTATTAAGAAAAATATAGAATAAGCAATAATTTTTTTAATTCTAATGCAATTGTTTCCTGAGGTCCTCCAAAAGAAAGAACCTGCAAAGAAAAAGCTAACATCAACAAGATGTCAAGGATAAATGATATTGTAGCCTAAAAAAGGCACAGTCGCACAGTCGACGGTGGGTTAATAAATGCAACCAATACAAAAGTTTGGCAACTGATGATATTAATTTCTATAAGGTTAGATAGCATTCTGTTTGTAGAGTATGATCCATAAAGAGCACGAAAATGGCTCTTTAGCAACATCCTATCATCTTAATTTTTAAGTATAAATATAATTCAACAGTTCAATTTTCCACCAGTATTATACCGTTTTTACGGATGAGTGATACCCATAATCGCACTAGCTGGTGGCTAAATTAAAGCTGACATGTAATTTATAGGTTTATGAATCTCCAATTAAATGATAAAATATTAGCATTTGTGACTCTGACAGATTCTAAAGATTACTGAATTTTAACAGCTAGCTGCAGGTCTCAATCCCCTCGACAGGTCCTTCTCGAATCTTGCTGTACCTGACTGGCTGACCACTCAATCAACTCGCGGAGTTCGACCTGAATTTTCAGAGTCAGTTGCGGAATTAAATCAAAGAGTTAAATTATTTTAAGGTGCAACTCTTCGAATGTTTTATTTTTAAATCATACAATGACTGATCATAATTCTGGAATATTTATATCGTTCATGAAATGTGTCGATGTCGATATACTCGTATATCTGGTAAGTTCGGAAATAGAATTTCAGATCCACCTGTAACTCAGTGCATTAAAATGTTCAAGTTAAGTCTACTGTATTCATTGCCCCGAATTTTATCATGTGAACGCAAACACAGCTCGGCGTCCTAAGTATGCAAATTTGACAACTAATAAAGCTGAGATTTATAAATAGAAAGTAAACGGCTAACGCAACCACATATGAAACCGTGGAAAAATGGATCATGAGCAAACCATGAAAATGGCTCCTGCATGTTGGCGTTCGAATGCCAATTTACTTTTTTTATGTTGTGAACACAACAAAATAAATGGAATACCTCCAAAGTGGCATTTCGGTTGCCATAGCTTGGTAGTTTATTCGTGTACCGTGGTAGACACTTGTGGTGATTTTCGGTGATTTTGGTGATTGAATCAGCTCATGGCGTCAGCCCATACGAGTTTCATTATATTCCTTGTAAGGAGTAGTGGATACACTGTTGCGTTAAAAATATTGTTAGCACAAGGTGATTGTGTTGACAATTAATATTATTCCCCAATTATGAATCTTTTGACAATTTTTCATGAATCGGAAGTAGCGATTGATGTGCTGAAAATAAAAATATGTTCCATTTGATGAGTGGTGCATCAATTTATGAGCAAATTCTTGAGATTGTTAAGGAGCTTAAACTATAGTTCCCTCAATCATAATATGAAATCACACAGTTTTTCCACTTAATTTAATTAGACCAAGTTATGACTTACCAGCGTTTTAATTATGAACAATCCATCAAGTTTTAGCAGCTCATCAAGTTTAAGCCGCTTACATGCTTTGTATTTATTGTCCGCTGAATCCTTTTCAATTTTTCAATAAAATTTTCATTGACAAATTATTACTTTACACTCTAACAACAATGTTTAGAAAATGTGTTGTTAACAAATCTATAAGGATATGAATAAAACTAGTATAGGTGCGACGTTCTTTAATTGGTGCGTAAGTGCGAGCTGATCACCTTTACACCGCCAGAAGCCTCGATCCAGCAGCCTTGAAGTTTTTCTTAATGGAATTAATAACGATCATATAGTTAAGTTGTTATAAACGAAACTTTTTATGAGAAAATTATGCGGTTTTGTGTTTTAAAATCTTTCTTTACTTCGGATGGGATGGATGAATTGAGCGTGCGTTAATATAACCGTAGTAACAAGAAAGTGACGGATGACATAACACAACATAACATAACGATGTCGGCGCTATAAAGAGTAGGCCTGATGTGGCCTATCGCCGATTCTTGAACTTTTCGTGACTTGTTCACAGAAGATCTAAAATCGTGTCATTTGACCGGATCTTTTCATGACTGACGATAGTCTGAAATAGCTACTAGACTCCCACCGGGTTCGCTAGGGTGCAAAGCATTCCAAATCTGAATATATATTTTCCCCTAGCCTTATCTAGTCTGTTCTTGAACGCGTTCATACTTAAAGGCCCGTTCACACTACGAGACTCTGCGCGACTGACGACTGAAAAACTGGCTTTTTCAGCCCAGACTGAGGCTGTCCGGACCATCGACACGGGCTCATCGGCGAATGAAGCAGTGTTCATTCTTTTGAGCCGCTCATTGAGCTGCTCGATGCTCATCTCGGGAGTGTCGCTTTGACTGCCGTCTGAGTAGGTTGTGCGTAACTGTCGCTCCTACCCTATTTACACACAATTACTGTTTATTTACTTTGCTTTGCAATGTCGCATGACGGAGACTGGAACAGAGATGTTACTGAGAGGCTTATTGAGTTATATAGACAGGCACCTTGCCTATGGAAAGTTAAAAGTTCGGTTTACAAAGACAGGATCTCAAGACATCAAGCATTAGAAAAAATAAGTGAACAAATGAAGAAATCAGATGCATCTATGAACATCGAAAAAATTCGTAAAAAAATTCACACTTTGCGAAATCAATTTAGATCAGAGATGAAAAGAAAGAAAGATACCCTGAAATCTGGAACAGGTGCCGAGGATTCATTTACACCGCGGTTGTGGTGTTTCAATATTCTTTCATTTCTCACCGACGGAGATGAGAAACGACCATCAGTTTCATCACTGGATGAAATGGAAATCTCGGTAAGTGATTTTTGTATATTTATTATGAACTAGGAGTAAGCTGTTATTTTAACTCGCAGCTCAATTCAAATAAATTGATTAAACTCAGAGTAGCAGCATTTGTGAAACACGCTATGATACCTAACTAAATCTATAGACCCATAACCAGATATCCACATTATGACGTAGTTATTGAATTTAATTTTTCTCGATACACTAAAAATATAATAAGATAATATTCCTTTTTGACCCCATGGTGAATGCATGTTATTAAACAGATAAACTATGTTAATGAGAAGTTTGGAGCTATTCTTGCGTTTCATAACTGCTATTAGGTACATAGATAGCCGAAAACTTTTGAATTTTATATTTGAAATTCTATCAACTGAGTAGAGGCATACATTTAAGATATGGGTTATTCAGGCCTGAGTCCTGCCATTTGGCGCTGCCAGGGTACTTGTCCTTCGTTATTGAAGTACTTGCAGAAAGCTTCGCGAACTTCTCTAGCTTCTTCCGAAACTCGACCATCCCGTCGTCGTTCAAGCTCCAGCAACTGCGCCGCGTCTTGCCGCCAAGACCCATGCACGATCTCGCCTCTGTCGATATCTTCGACGTCAATGCTGCCTTGCGGAGTGTGTTCATTTGAATACTCACGTCTGAGCAGGTTGTGTAGCACAATTGTTGCTAGAACTACGTGCTCTGCTTTGTCAGGGGTCAAGGCAATTGATGTCTGCAACACACGGAATTTATTGGACATAATTCCAAATGCATTTTCAACTATTCGCCTTGCTCGAGACAGACGGTACGAAAATATTCTTTGTTCCTCGTTTTGATTCCTGAATGGGTATGGCTTGAGGAGGTAGGGCTTCAGCGGGAAAGCGTCGTCTGCGACGAAGACGTATGGTGCGATCGTAGCGCTCTTCGGAAGTACTTTATTTGTTGGTAATTTAATTGAGCCATTAACCAGATTTCTGCTCAACGAGCACCCAGACCACACGCCTCCGTCGGACACCCTGCCATTGGTTCCAACATCTGCATATATGAGTTCATAGTTGGCATCTGCCACGCCCAATAGCACGATGCTGTGCGTTTGTTTATAATTAAAATAGTAACTTCCGCTGTTCGGGGGTGGCTTTATCTGGACGTGTTTCCCGTCGATGGCTCCGACGCAGTTGGTGAAATTCCATTTTTTTTCGAAGTCAACCCCAATTGCAGACCATTCTGCTGGCGTGCGAGGAGTCTGTAGGTAGAAAAGAAGATTAAATAATTGAACTTGAATACACATTATTAGACCTATACATACTTATATATAAACCCTGCCAATTTTTATTTTGGTATTCATGTTTAATGTTTATTTCTGAACATATATGTATATAAAAGGGTTTACTCATTTATTTATCCATTTTGTTAATTATTTAACGTGGAGACCCATCTTAACTTTTTTCTTACAATATACACTAACAATACACCCTAATACAAATGTATAAAAAATTAATAAATGCCAAAACTTTTGCAACACTGTAAATGAATGAGTACATCCTGTCTATAAATATGTTGAAATATTTCTATCAATTCGGACTGAGGTAGCTGCTTAGCTTTCGAGACACTCTCGAAATTCGTCCAAGTTACTGGTCTCAGTATCGCTGTGTTATCTCACTGGATAAAATATTAGTATTTAATCGATTACTTTCTTATTTTGTTTCAGGCCAGCACTCCTAGTATTTCAAATGAGAACGAAACTTCGCTGATGTTCTCTGATACATTTGAAGTTCCAAGTGATGACTCAACATTTCAGCAAGTGCAGTTGCCAGGCCTGGAACATGTCGAATGTCCTTACAAGGGAGACAATTCTGACCCAACAGAGCAGTTCGATTCATCAGGAAGAGCAGAACATTCTATAATAAGGCCAGCAGTACAACCCCAACGAGTGATGAGAAGTCCTACACCAACAAGTGACTCATCCACGTCTCAGCCAAATGAACCGAAGTCTGTTGAGTTCAGCAGAAGGCCTCCTTTAAATAAAGCTCAAAAAAGAAAGCGTGCGGAAGATTCTGAAGCCGAAATACTGCAAATGGTTGCAACATCACTCAAGGAAGATGAACTTGGGGAGATGACTTGGGGCAGAGCAATTGGCAAAGATGTAGCAAAACTTAATAGAGAGCAATCCATAATAGCAAAAAAACTGATTAGAGATGCAATTTTCTATGGTTCCTTAAATATGCTCAAACCTCTTACAAGACTTACCGATCTTGATTGAACATAATCAAAGAGCAAAACAAAATTATGATATCAAGTAATTTACTAGTCGGTTTATACTTATTTACGTAGTAAATGATTGATATAGGTAGCAAAAGTTCATTTGAGCCCCTTCAAATATAACTAACTTTGTTGTTTTAAGCGAGTCGCAGTGGCATAACAATGCAATAGCAAGGTCATTGACGTATGTTCAAGAAAGGAATTATTTGTATTTGTTCTTGGAAGCAATCGAGATTGCACTTTTTGTTTGTGTAGTGATATACGTATATATAAAGTATACGTGTAGTGATATACGTATATATAAAGTATACGTGTAGTGATATACGTATATATAAAGGAATTTCATAAGGAATTGTTGTCATAAATAACAATACAAACCTTATACTCGTTAATGTATTATTTCCCCTATCTCGTGCGATGAGTGGAGCCCTATAGGAAGTAATCAGATGTAAATACATATAGCTATTCAATTTGTTACTCACCTTCATGTACTCTTCCTTCAGCACGCTGTAAATTGCCCTGCAGGTATCTGGGATTATAAGGCAAAGTGATGCTTTAGAAATTCTCGTATGGAACTGGAGTCGGGTATATGAAGCACCTGTAGCTAAATAAATTAAAGTAGCTTCAAGTCTTGCACCAGCAGAAATACTCCTACGAAGGTGAGTATCTTCGCGAGAAATCAATGGTGTTACTTTGTCAAGGATGTAATAGAAAGTATTCGTAGGCATTCGTAAGTAACTGAAGAAATCACTCTCACTCGATGATAATTCTTGAAACAGTTGCCCGTAACTTCCTCGTGAAGACCTATTTAACAGCCATGGTTTGCACCAAATGTTTCTTCGTTTCCTCCTGCGCCTTCGACTGCGCACAGTGTGAACAGCGAGTAAAGCAAGAGCGGCAGCACGATCCATCTTCGAAGGCCAACGAGTAACTGAAATGTCGCGCGCGCCGCGCGGCAGAGTGGTAGCAGCGATAGTCGTGAGTCTTGATCCCAGCACATGCGCGTAGTCTGAACGCACACGCCAGTTTTCAGGCTCAGCCATGTGGCTTATTGGTCTCAGTCCAGTCTCGATCCTTCCGAATCAGTCCCGTAGTGTAAACGGGCCTTAATAAAAATTGGTCCCAGTTTTTGTATCTTTTGGCTTCACAGTGTATACCAGGGTTGCCAGATGGTCATTTTCTGAACAAATTCAACGATTTAGTTTTTCTTCATTGTGTTGGCCGACCAAAACGTGGTTCTTCCTCATCGTATTTTACAAAAAATATAACTCAGTACTCAATGCAGTGAGTGACAGAGAGCGCATTTTCTCGTCGACGAAAACGTGAAGTCACGGACGGACAGACGGACGGACATGGCGAGCACAATAGTACATTTTTTCCATAAATGAGAAAGTGCACTAAAAAGGACAATTGGGTTCTTGTCCCGAAACCTTCGAATTTACTCGTAACAATTGAATAGTGGGCCTCTTTGGCCTCTGTTGTCCGCGGACTTGGAAGTTTTTATGCCGTCAGGCAAACTTGTGTATACATTCCAAGCATGAGGAATATATTTTGTCCAAAATATAGAGTTGTTAGCTATCTAGCGTTTTGCGTTTAATGCGTTAGAGGAAGTATTATCATCATTCAGAATTAGTTGATTGGCTAGTTTTGATATCAAAGTTCCAGATTCCTAACTATTTTAGGTAAATAAGAATACTGATATGTTGGTTATAACTTTATTTTTACTCGTCATTCGCTGGCAGCTTTCAACCAATGAAAGGCTAAGTACAAGGAATAATAAGAATGTAAAAAGTATATAACTCAGTACTCACTGCAGTGAGTGACAGAGAGCGCATTTTCTCGTTGACGAAAACATGAAGTCACGGACGAACAGACGGACGGACAGACGGACATGGCGAGCACAATAGTGCATTTTTTCATAAATGAGAAAATGCGCTAAAAACTACGGCGAGCAGCTTTTTTTGCCGAGTAAAATGGAGCGGAGAAGAAGGGAAGAACTTGATGGGAATGTCAGAAGCAATTATCAAGGTTCATTAACATTGCAATCTTTCGTATTAGTGTGGCACAGATAGGTATAATTATAGAGTTTGATGGAATATTTATCATAATTTCATTATTTATGTAACAGAGGAGCCCTGTAGTTGTGGGTTGGTGTCCATCTTTAATATTGTGCATGCTGTAAACCAAACGTGACCTGCACGCCATATGATGCTGCAGAGGCCCCGTCGCACATTGACTGGTCAGAATGTGCAGTCCTGGAAATGGCTTAGTTATATATAGAGTTTTATCTTCGCAGGTGACCACGTTGGAAAAGTTGTATGAAATGGATTTGCATCTATTTTTTGTTGCTCCTTCTTTATCACTGGGCTTGTCATAAAGGATTCCTTTTGTGTAGAAGCCGGCGAAGGATTTCAGTACGTTTTCGTTTTAGCTAACACGATCTGCCTTTCAATTATACTAGGCGATGGAAAATAGTGTTATTGTTCTATTTAGACCATAGTATACGTATGTGTTACTTTTACATATTTTATCCTTTGACCGGATCAATTGAAAATCTTCAGGATTTATATATTATATTGTGTCACTTTTACATACTTTATCCTTTGTCCAGGTTAATTTATTTTCATGCAGCCTAAACGAGCGAGTCTTATCTATGTACTGGATGAAGGAGATCCCCTGTCGTGGAGTAAAATGCTCTCGTCACGTTTGCAAGAACTTTGATATTTTAGTGATTTGCTCGACTTGTTTGGTTTGCAAACAGACTTACTGCCTTCACTTTCATATCATAGGTTCCCTCCTTCACATACACATCACAAATTGGTTGTCCGGCTGAGGTGCTAGCACAAAATAGCTGTAAATAATTACACAATCAAATTTATTTAATATTTTATTTTAACAAATCAAGATAACAAGAACCTTCAACGAGAACGGCAATGATCAATCCGCAAGGAAATGGTCATTTAAAGATAAGCTTTAAATATATAAACTTTATTAATCTCCCTTCTTGATTAAAATCTTGCATTCTGATCCTCCTCAAGTTGTTGCTTCAAATTTACTAGACTGTAGAAAAATAACGGCAGTGTTGTCCAGGCAGTATAGGGTCCACTGAGTTACAACTGCTGGCAGGTAGGATTTAGGGTTCCTGTTGCCTCAGGGTTGAACGACAATGGTCATGCATGAGGTTGGCTCAAGCTAGGAAATAGGAAAAACTGGAAGCTTTGATTTCTATTAGCAGGAATAAATTCAACTCTCTACGCATGCCAAATCACTTCTCCGTTATCTTCCATAAAATTAAAGATAAATGTATATAACCAAGATCAAGTTCGATACAGCTAGTCTGTCGGAATTATTAAATGTTGGTGCTCATCTTCCCTTATATTACCAGTAAGTCATTAGAAAACGGATTGAAGGTTAGAAGTGCTGCCTATTGCAATATTCATCATGCAGGATAGACTATAAAGGGATAACACGAATTTCAGATGAGTCTATAGGCTACTTGACCACGAAAACAAAAATGAAGTCATGACCAACGAACGATTTCTCCCCGGATAATTTTTTTTAGTCCATAAAAAATGACAAACGAATGATGCCGCTACAATTTATGTTACCCAATGATACAAATTCAAGCACACAAAGCAGGTACGCAATTCACGTATAATATAAAAAGTTAAACGGGCTCTTCGCCTTGCGTAAACAATGCGGCGTTCTTACGTTAACTATGATTGGTTTTAAGCACTCTGTAAATAATTTTTTATTAGTGCATTCTGCTTCAAAGCTCAATTAATTGTCTTCTCAATCAATTGAGCTGGATATTTAAATTATTAGTTTTTTATTAGAGAATTGCACTTCCCACGGCCATCTTTAATTTCAAGATATTATCTGGCATTTTGATATAATATTTAATAGAATATATGATATAATATGATCGTTCAGTCAAATTATATTGTAGTTTTGCTCGGCCATCTTATTTTGACGTCCGACAATCCTCAACCTCATGTGAACGAACTGGCGAAAAATCTTGAAAAAGTGATGAAGTGAAGCAGCATGGCAATAATTATACGATACTAGTTTCATATCAAATGTTCACGTTAAAACAACCTCAGGCGTCACCCAAAATAAGGCACAGAACAAACATTAATGAAGCTATGACCCAAAAATTTGTAATTACTGAAAAGTATTGGAAACTAAACCTTAGTTTTTGTGTAACATGATCCGTATATATTCATCAATATCGTTGTAAAACGTAATTGCGTATTCGTATACAATGGAGCGAGCATTTAGCACGACAAGTTCTTTATGTCGCACTTTTGTTGTTACAATGTATGCTGTTCAAACTCAAATTGTTTAGTGTTTTTGTCCATATGGTTATTCTGTTATGCCTTGTTTTCGATCCTATTTTTTGTGTGTGGAATGATCTCAGTAATGCTTCTATCAACCTTGAAATTTGATCAGCAACGAACTAAAACACGACTTACTATAGTGCTAGCTTAAGTATCACTTCAATGTCCAAGCAGAAAATATTTATCAAAGTCTACGGTCAAATCAACCCTGAATCCAGCCCTCAACATATGCATTACACGTTGAAGGAACTTTAATTAATGTTAAAGTATTCGCTATTGAAAACTGAAATTGAAAATCAAAATCCAGGAAACAATGAACGGGGGGGATGAAATAATGATATAATCACCCTATAGGTAAATGATATTAATCACTCTATGATTATAGATTATGTTTTAAGTCGCTATGAGCAATGCCGGAAAATTGTAATAGATTCAAATGAAAGGGTTTTACTCTTGATTTATAATTTAATAATTAGACTAGAAAATTAAATTGGTAATCCTAGTTATTGTTAATCGCTGATGATATATGTAATTGTTTAGATACATTTCAATACCCAGGAAGGCAAGCCTTTTTTCATAAAATTCTGACAAAACTATAAAGAGGAAGGTTCAAATAATTCAATGTAGTTATAAATTTAAGATTCTTACATTCTTCAATGCAGGGTATCCATTGAATCGTCCTTATATCTACCGCTGACGACCGTTGCTGTACAGAAACGCCACTGCGAACAATTATTATTTAGTGTCCCACCCACAGATCGCGAGACCCAGGGTGGGGTTCAGGCCGAGGGTATACTATGAGAAAAGAGTGAGCACTCTTTCAACAATCTAATAAGATAATATAACATAGTGATGTCGGCGCTGAAGTGTAGGCCTGATGTGGCCTGTCCCCGATTCTTTTCCTTTTCGTGCCTTGTTCATAGATCTAAACTCGTGTCATTTGACCGGATCTTTTCATGACAATTTAATATATGCGTTTAAGCAGATATCTCCTTATTAATTCGCACACACACAATTCTCAATTTTGTATTGAAAGCTCACCTTATTCAAATTAAATTAGTGCTAAATCTGTGCTGTAAGGTCCACAAAAAAGTGGATTAATTTTAGGATATTAAAATGTAAACATAGAGTTCACAGTCGCATGGATTGGTTGAACAACACGCATACAGATTTGCAGATAATCAGGATATAGCTAATGAATAATAAGATAGTAAGATCAAGCCCTGCCTTTATCCTGCCTATCAAAGTTTTAGAGCGCCCAGGCAGAAACATAAGCAACATTAAGGCTATAAATTAGATTAAATATATATCAGAGTAATGACTTGAAGCATTATATCGTGGCGTAACTCAGTGTATATAGTTGGTAAATATACATGCAAGCAACCCGTTCCTTGAGATTGAAGCACACGGGATGCACACAAGGAAGTATAAACCATGTTATGTATACTCGGTATGCAGGATTTAAAGAAGGCGGCGTAGTTTGGACAGTGGACTGAACATGCACAAAACAAATATAACTCAGTACTCACTGCAGTGAGTGACAGAGAGCGCATTTTCTCGTCGACGAAAA